TGCAATCAAAAGTAGCTGTTAATTTGAATGTTGATATTTATTGTAAAATTGGCAAAATTAATGTGGATTCCTTCATAAACAAGAAAAAATAGAAAAATTTAATATATAGTATCACTTTTAAAAAATCATTTTGATGTCCAGTTATAAGTTATTTTAAAAATATCTTGTTTTTGGAATTATTTAAAAACTCACATTGTAGCTTATGTTACTGATCATGCTAATACTCAAGAAAAATTCTCTTATTGTTCAACCAAAATATATTCTGTTGAAGATCAATCTTGTTTTTTAATTTTGTTTAGCTCTGTGTGACTCTTTATAGATGTTACTATATCGGGTGAAAAGCATAAATCTTAACCATGTTCAACTGTATCCAAAGTATTAAGTATCAGCTTACTTTGAAGTTAACAAACCAGTGATTTTTTTTTTTTTTTTTTCCCCCACACTCCGTGTGTGTGCGTGCGTGCGAGAAAGAGAGACTGACCAAATGACCTTTCTGATGAAATATCCTAGTCTCACTAACCTTCTTTTATTCTTCTAATATACTTAATAACCTCTTGAAAATTGTTATTCAACATTTACATCATTGGTGACATTTTTGTAAATGTAGAGGACCTTTGAGTGTTTGCCTTTTTAATATAATTTAATTTATCCGTTTGAAGCGGAGTTCTTTTTTTTTTTTGTTTAAGCAATACATTTTAATTTGATCCATGAACATGCCATTTAAGGCCACACCTAATTTCCTGACATGGATAAAGTTACAGAACTTGAAACATTGACTGGTAATGGTTTAATATATTTGTGCAGACTTTTGTATTAGAGCATGATTATGGTTTGCTAATATCAACAACTCTGTGATTTTAATTAAAATCTTATAGCAGTAACTCAAGTGTCTCAACAAATTCCATTTTTGATAATATAGAAATAGCATAATTGTGCTGACATTGTTTTCAGAATATTTTAAAACCATTTTTAACCATATATCTAAATTTACTGTTGCAAACATTTGCATGAAAATTAGCCCAAGAGTTTTGGTATTGGTTTGTATATGTATGTGCATAAAGGATAAAATAATGGCAAAAAAAACTTTGTAGGTCAATATGATTGATTTTTTTTTTTTTTTTTTTTTTTTTTTTTTTCGAGGTTTATATAAATAGATATATTGAAACAAATGAGCCTGACTGCCTTAATCAAGTATGGATTTATCTACAAGCATATTTGTTCAATACTTTCATCATTTATCTTAAGTGTCTGATAGATATACAATATTAATCAAATTCAAAATAAATAATTTAAAATGCCCTTTCTTTACTTAACAGTACATGTAATGACATCAACTTGTTAGAATTGTAATTTTAAGTAAAATGAATAGTTATTTGAATATGAATTTTTACTTATTAACATGCTTAATGAAGTTGCCTAATAGGAAATTGCCAGTAGTGTTAGTATTTTTGTTGAATCTCTTGTAATATTTGACATGTTAATCTTTTTTAATCTGTCATAAGAATCTTTGCAAATATTTTATTCTTGCATCAACTTTTAGGAGAAAAGTAAACTCTCAAGAGCAATGATTCTGAAAACTTTAAAGTTAATGTTAAATAGCAGAACATAATTAGAAAATAATTTTGTAAGTCTATTTTAAATATTTGTGTATGCTTTTAGAAAATAAGCAGATATAGACATCAAAAATGTTGATTATGCAATGAGGAATAAAATTTATCAGAATAAAGGTTGCTAGCCCCCCCCCCTCCTTGTCGTTATGCATACAAAAACCACCTTCTGTACAAGCTTTGTGTTATATTATTCAGTTAAAAGGGAAATTTTAATTTTTGTGGTAAGATTATGATTGGTACTCTGGTAAAGAGTCGGATTAAAATTAAACTGAACTGACTGCACAACACAAGAAAATGTCTCTTGTTTTTATTCAGTATAATTTGTAAAGAAATAGGTTTTTTTTTTTTTTTTTTTTTTTTTTTTACTTTGATAATATATCTTTAAGAATCTCTGCAAAGTATCTCTATTCTGGAAATTGATCCATACAGTTTTTCCATATTAAAATGTAGATTTCATTTGCTTCTTTGACTTTCAAGGTTGATCAATTAAACTTTTCTTAGTCAAAGGTTAGAATGTATTCCTAGGTTTTTGTGCTTCCTGTTTTTCTGCTTGCCACTCACAAAACCTGATTTTATGAGATTTATTTTAATCAGGACTTTTCAGTATTTTTTTTTTTTTATAAGAAATTGATGTCAAGGTGATTCTATATCTAAACTGGGCACATGTTTGTTCCATGTGCTGCTATTCTTAATAAATTATTCTATTCCCATACTAAAACTCATTCAAGATATATAAATAATGAAGCATTTCAAATGTTTTTAATGTATATAACCTTTTTAATGCAACTACACCCTTTTAATTTTTGCAAATCAGATTTTCTCACAAAATATAGTCTGAAAGAGAATCAATTGGATGTTTAATTGAAATCACTTTCATGTGTGGCCACATTCATGTAGAAATCAGTGAGGCACAAATTTGTATTTGTGAGATCAGTATGTGTGTTACTTATAAGAAGTGTGTGTGGTGTTGTTGTTGTTTTTTTTTTTTTTTTTTTTTTTTTTTTTTTCTCAATGGAAAAAAAAAATCATTTGGCAACTCGAAAAAATAGCCTGGATATGGCTTTCTGAGGACTTTAAATAAAAGTAGTCTGAAATACATAACATTTTTTTTTACTTTAGTTTCAATACTAAACAAATCTGATTATGATTTAGAATTGAAAAAAAAATACAATATTGTGATTTGAGCTTTCAAAAATTTGATATTAGATATTGAACAAAACATTGCTTGAGGAAAGCCAAATGTTAAGCACCTTTTTAATATCAGATTCTTTCAAAGAAATGCATAAAAAAATCATTATTGTGAAGTTTTTATATATATATATATATATTATAAATTAATTGATTTAAAATGTTTTTTTCCCCGCTACAAAGTTCTAACCATGTTTCAAAAATGGAAGCTAAAAGCCACAAATTTAATTTTGGAACTAATGTCTTTAATTTAATTGCAAAATTAAATTTGTGGCTTTTAGCTTCCATTTTTGAAACATGTTTAGAACTTTGTAGCGTGAAAAAAAAAAAACCATATTTTAAATCAATTAATTTATAATATTAATGCTCTGTAAATTTACATTGAGCACTATTTTGTAAAAATAAAAATATCTATAAGAACACCGGATTATATATCTTACTGTTCTTTTTTTTTTTTATATATATATATATATATATATATATATATATATATATATATAAGAATGTCAATTTGCCAAAAAAGAAAACTAGTTGATAAAAGTATAAAATACATTTCAAATCTGCATTTCAGAATTTTTAAGTGGAATCTAGTGTATAGAAAAATAAAACTAATATTGGGAATCTTAACTATTAAATGCAATGACTGGGGTAACTGAAATAATTTTCTCAAACTATTTTAAAAAAAAAAAAACTACTTAACAAAAACAAGGCTTGCTGAAAATACAAAATTAACTTGACAAATTCCATACGAAAAATGACCTTTTTATATACTTGTTTTCAAGGATTTAAATGGTATAACAATTCTTGAATGTGGTTTCAGACTATATATACAATTTTATGGATCTAAGTCTTAATAATTTGTGGGGAAATCCTGGATGCACAGAAACTGGCAATTCACATTTATATTAGACTAGCTTAAAAGCCACCCTATTGGGTGGCATTTAAGCTAGCTCCTGCGGAGGGCTCTTAATTTAGGCCTTCATCATAATAGATAGGGAGGAGTAGATGCAATAGACAACAGCAAACTTTGAAAGAGCTCATAATTGATCACTGCATTTAAGTATTCTTCTGCTACCACTTAAAGACAATTTGATGTACGTAGGTCCTTACTTTTTATACAAACAATTATTTTTATTTCATGGGTGATTCTTGCTCAAATTTATTTCAAGTTATAAAAATTATCATACATAAAAATTTGTTGCAAAAAATCACATTAAAAAAAAATCACCAAAAACAATCACAATGATGAAAACTTGGGAATCCAAAATTTCAGATCTGGCCTGGAATGTTTTTAATTTGATCGCAGTCGGCCTGTTTCCAAAATGTTATGATATATTGAGCTATAACCTCTAGGAGTAAAGTTGAAAAAAAGTGTGACACATTGACATTCTCATTTATTATATAGGTTAATCATAGAAGAAACTTATTAGCAAGGACATGATTTGTTTTTAATACTAATTAAACCTTGAAGGTTAACATTCAAATCCAATCTATGAACAAACTAAAATTTCAAGACTTCTGGCATGACATTTAACTTGTGTATCTCTTGATTATAGATCAGTTGGCCTTTGAGTTTTAATGTTCATTGATTTTGACATTTATGTTGAAAAGAAGAACCACATGACTTGTGTATTTATCTGAAATGAAATTTATAAAAAAATGTTTTAAATTTTCAATCTGTTAAGAGTTTTTTTCTTTCACAAAAATTGTTATATCAAGTTTGATTGTGCTCTATATTGATAACTTACCTCAAAGAATCCTGATTTCTTTTCAAATATTACTTTGCAATTATATAACCATATACCTCATGAAAGTAGTTTAATGACATTTAAAATTACTTGAAATAAAACCTGTCCAAGACTTTTTCTCTTGCATATAATGTCTGTTCAACTTCTAAGACCTTTCTTGGTTGTACACAACAAACAGAAGAAAAGCTTCTGCTAGCTATTGGCAAGATGGCTGCTGGATTTTTCCATGTACTGAGATTTGGGGAGATCTGAATAAATGGTACAAGATGCTAATTCAGAATACATATAGTTTTACAGTCTATTATAGTTAAAGTTCTGAATACACAGACAATTAAAATTTATATTTTAGTCAGCTACTTGTTGTAGCTTGTAAATAATATTTGTATAAACAAATGTGATTGGTATCAGTAATATTGATGATTATTCATATTGAAATCTGTTTCTGCTTTTACAGTTATTCAGGGAAGTAAGGATAATGAAAATTCTTGACCATCCTAACATTGGTAAGTAACTTTTTTTTTTTTTTTTTTTTTATGGCACTGATGTAACAATATGTAACAATATTGTGGATTTTTATTTTTTATTTTGGTTGATTTTTAGGTTCAAAGTACTGACTTTATTATAAAACACTAAATCAGTTTCATTAGGCTTGGTTGAATGATCATTAGTACATTTCAAATAAAGTTTATTTACATTAAGACATTAGTTCAAATATAAATAATCTTTGTAATCACACCATTTTAGCTGTTGTGCCCTCCAGTCTTCTTTGGATGTCTGTTGAATCAGATAGCCTTCAAAGAATTTTGAACTGAATCCTTTATTTAATCTATGTTGGTAGATTAAATAGTTGGAAATACCTTGAACATTACTTGAATTGATAAACACTTGAAGGAGGCTGGGGGGCACAATAGCCATATTGTTGGGATAATAAAGGTGAGGACATTAGTCCAAATGTAAGCAACTCCTCATCCTAGAAAATCGGTCAGAAGTAAGTTTGTTCTTTGAATTTTATCTTTTATACTTATATGAAATTTTCATTAAAACACTAGCTTTATTTTTTTAATGCCATATGTAAATTGAAACCAATGCTTTGAATGGCATCATTGCTTTATTCATTAAAGTTTTGATAGTGTCTAATGCTAAATAAATTTAACAAAGTGTATGGAAATCTCCAAAAAGAAATACTGCATTTTGAGAATTCTTTATTTTGTTGTATTTCTAGTTAGTAAGTACATTGTAACATTTAATATATTCAAATGCATTGCATTGACCAAATCACCAGTTACATTTCAAAGGCTGATTAGCTTTCTTTCTATGCAACACTGTATTCATAATGTAGCTGTCTTGACTTTCACAAGAATAGTCTATTGAGGTTCTAGTCATTCATATAGTATCAATGGAAGTAGTTCAAAATGACGACATTTTTTGAAGAAAAAAGATTTCTTGCTTACAGTATAGATTTCACGTAATCTAAGGATAGACCTATACTGTTTATAACAATTTGAAACCAAAGACATATGCACAATTTTATTCTCAATGGATTTATCTGAAAACAAATTATTAAAAAGAAATGTAAAATCTTTCATGGCATGGAATTTAGAATGCTTTTGTTTTCCTATGTTTATATTTGGTCAGAACAAAAATTTGTAGCATTTTAAAGTGAATTTCAAAGGCGATATTTAGATAAGTTTATTTAACCACATATCATATGCTATTTTGTTCCATGATCTTTTTGCCATCTTTGAGGCAGCTTCATGATTCAATCCTACCAGAATTTGGCATCTTTCTGGGTGATGAAGTGGTTTTTACAGGGTTTCAGATAATTGAAAAAAAATTTGTGGGGATTGAAATAAATTCTAATCCAAAGGTGCAAGGTCAGGTGAGTACGGTTGGTGTAAATGGGCATTCCGGCCAAACTGTAAGAATTTTTGCCAAGTCGGCAAAGAGACATGAGATCTTGCACTGCTTGACAACAATATTTGATTTTGTAATACAAAGTACCTTTCCAGTCCCACTGGATATACTGCATCAACTTATTTAGAGGCAGATCAACTTTTGGAGTGGTTAACAGTGGCTCATTTTAATTTTCTCCAGTATCTTTTGTGCTCAACATTGTCTTGAATAATCCATTTTTCATGACCTGTGATCATTCTTTTAAGAAAAACGTTTTTTGTTGCATTTGAATAGAGAATCACAGATGGAAATGTGGTTTATTCGGGGTTTTTTTTTTTTTTTTTTTTTTTATTAAGACAAGACACCCAACTCTCATAGCAATTCATGTATCCAAATGTTTTCAAATGCCTTACACCACATATCTCATATAAGTGCTGTATCTCTGTGATGTCCCATGTTGTATGACCAGGATTATTTTTAATCGGCATTTTCACTTGCAAGACTGCCAGAAAGTTTTTGGTCTTCCATGTCAAGACTTCACTTCTGAACCTAGCAAAGCACTTATGGACAGTATTCTCAGCTATGGTACCAGTTCCATAAATGACACCTATCTTTTCTACTATTTGTATAGCATTTTTTTTCCTTTCTAGAAATAAGAGCATCAAATGAAAACTTGTCTCATTTTTCACCATTTTCAGTTTTAACATAAAAAATATTTAAAATTCATTGATTCCTGTCACCTTTCAGAATATGTATGTCAAATTTCAGTCTTTTGTGAAATTAAATAACATGTTCAAATGTTACCTTTGTTCTAATCAATCTGAATTGTACTCTTTAAAAATTTATTTTATTTCACTTTATAGGTTAGAAATTTGCATTTCATTTAAATAATTCCAAAGTAAGCAGTGGCTTGTTTTCATTTTCCCAAATTAAATTTAACAACTAAAAAATAATCTGATTTTCAGATTCTAAAATGTGGCCAGTATAATTTATCACTTGCTAATCTACCAGCTACACACACAGTCTATTAAACTAGTTTTAACAACTCTGGACTTCAAGAGCTTAAATTCTTGGGTATTATACAGAAAATTTATAGTGTTTGTCAGCTGTGTTCTACCTTTATTGCTTTTTTACTTAATGATATAAACATTGAATTTTTCTGTTTACTTATATATACACACCTTTGTGTAATTGTTCAGTTCACTTGTCAGGGGATATCACCAACTGTCTGTCAGTTTTTCTTATTTTCATTTTAAATTTAAAAAAAAAATATGCATTTTTAAAAAAAATTTTTTTTTACTGGTCTTAGGTTGATTTTTTTTTTTTTTTTTTTTGTATGTGTATGTGTGCCTCTATATGTGTGGGATATCATGGTTATTTCTACACACACACACACACACACACACACACACATACATATATATATATGTGTGTGTGTCTATTTAACTTTTTATATTGTTTTTCTGGCTCCTCACTGAGTTGTTTTACATCAGGATTAAAATTTTAAACTGTCCAAAGTTCATTTTTATTCACCTGACTACTTTTGACTGTCACTACAATAATTATCAAGAATTGCAAGTGATTAGTATGTTAGGCAAGATATTTGACAAATTACAGCATTTTTAGATAACTGGAATTAGAATTTAAGTCAATTAAATATAGAGATGTTCATGAATCTTCACCCCCCAACACATGAATACTATAATGGATAAATGTCCCAAAGTTGATCTTGATGAAAACTGAATTTTATCGTCAAAATCTTTATTATTAAGATGAAAGACTAACGTGTTTTTTGATTACTTTAGTAAATTTTTTAATCCTTTTTAGAACATTAGAAATTTTGATTTAAAATCTTGTTTTTCTTGTGACAGTGGATGGACTATAAAATAACAGCAAAGTTTAGCCTCTTTTTTTTTTTTTTTTTTTGCAGTGAAAGATGCATTGATTTGGAAATTCTTATAAAAATCAAATACTTGTAAAAACGTTCAGAAATTATTCACAAATTATTTTAGAAATTTTTTTTTTCTTTTTTTACTTTATGAAAAACTTGAGAAATTCAAAGTTGTAACTTTTGATTATATTCATTAAAAGCAGAAGTCTGAAGAATCATGAAAAAAAAAATGCAATAAAGCTAAGACATTATTTAAATAGAAAAGCTTTTATGAATAATGTTAAGGACAATATTTTCTGAAGCAAAAAATTTTTCCAATGAAAAATTAATTTTTACAAGGATTTTTTTAATTTTATTCACAATTTAAATTATAATAATTTATAAAGTTGTTAAATCTTTTAAAATTCAGTTTCAATGTTGAGTATGTATGCACTAATCAATTTTTGGTATATAAAAATTTTAGCACATTAATTGAGAGGTGCCTATACACTAAAGTATTTTGCTTATTGAGTATCAGTCATTTATGTGCTATATGTGATAAACACTTAGGTGATCCTGTATTTTTCGATACATGACCGACGAAGCAGGTTTTTTCATGCAGTAGATTTCCCTTTCTTTCTGTGGTAGACCAGTTGCCATCCAAGGCTATAGAACCCAGTCAGTCCTGCTATTTACTCATAGCTGGAGGGTGGGTGGAAGAAGAGGATTCATACCTTTCCCAAGGGTATTAGCATGTAAGTGAATGTAATGGATTCAATTGGAATTTGAACTCGGTTCTCAGATTCCTCAATCCGTGCCGCTATACATTACTCTACCGTAAAGCTTCAAGAAAGTTTTTTTATTTTTAGAAATACATTTTAAACGTTAGGTACTGCAAATCTGTAAACATCCCTAGTTAAATATAGTGTTATCGGCAATGGTTGAACTGAAAAGCATGTATTGAACATTTATACAAGCTCTTTTTTTTTAATACTCATTTCAATATATGATCTCCTTTTGCAAAAGATTTTTTCTTTTGTATTGTAATAGCGTCTAGAATTTTGGTTCTATCTTTGCAGTGAGTCATATATAATATTTTGGGGTTATTTATTAAATTTGTCTTATGTTAATTTTATTTTGGTTGTTTGTGATGTGTTGATCTATATGTGCTTAAATTTCACTAAATTTTTACAAATGGTAACCTAAGTGAAAGTGTAGTGCATGTGTGTCCAATGTAGAAATTTCATGGTTGTTGGTTCATATTGGAGATTCTCTTCTGAAGGGCACGATAATTCATAAAAAACATTTTTACATTGGTTGGATTTTTGGTGTGCTGAATTATTGCTAAGTATTAGATTTAGACATTTTGAATTTTCTGTAATAAATGCTAAATCTAAGGTATTTGTTAGGATCGTTACCCATTATATACCAGCAATTATATTGTTTGTCTTGTTTATAGTTAGAATACATTTGGTTACAATGAAATAATTTAATGGTGTTAATTTTTGCTTATATCAAGATGATTGCTTTTTTTTTTTTTTTTTTCACTTATTCTTTTTCATCAGCATCATAGTTTCAGAAATTGTTAAGTGTTTTATGTTGCTTAATTCTCTATAAAATGTGTCTGAAGAGGAAATCATTTTCACTTAACCATATTTTCTATAAAAAAAACATTTTATATCTGTGATGGCATTTGCTTTTATAAATAAGAAACTTTTTTACTTGTGTGTGTTTTTTTTT